CCTAAACTTTTCTCACTTCTCCTTTGTACTATTACCTGTTCTTCTATTTTTGTATTACTTGTTGTTTCTGTTTCTTGTTTTCTTATTTCTGACCATCGTAGTTTGTTGTTATAGTAATACATTGAGAACTTTAGACTACTTACCCTGTTCTTTTTTTCTTTAAAATAAACTGTTGCACTTCCCATCTTGTTATTATTTGAGTTTTTAAATATATGAAGTATCTTCGCTCCTGTTTTCTTAACTTGTCTCTATAGGAATACTTCATTTGTATTCTCAAGTAAGTCTAGCAACCTTAGACTATATTTGCTTCTTTCGTAGAGCATGTTCTGGTTATTAATACCTGATATTATTCTTACTAGAAGTTGATCTATAAATGGTAAGCATCAAGTTTCTTCTATTTTCTTCTTATTGTACGTTCCTAATTTGAATTTAACTTCGGCTCTTGTCTTATCATATATAGTTCTTATTATTTCTATATGCTCAACTCTTCCCATGAAGTGTACTATTTCAAATACTTGAGTTCTTTTCATCTAAGTTGGAAGATCCTAAATTGTTATCTTGTTACTATTTTCTTCTAATTATAGTACTTCTTCATTGTCTTGTTTTGATGTATTTTTGTCTTTTCTAAAGATTCTTGCTGTTTAATTATTTCCTTGCTTTTTTCTTCTCTTTGTTTGAAAATTTCTTCTAGTTCTCTTATTACTTGGTTTTCTCTTTTAATTCTTCCTTTATAATCTTCATCTTCCTTCTTATAACTTTCTTGTATTGGTTTGTTTATCTTTTCTTCCACCTTTTCTTCTACTATAAATTTAGCTCGCTTGTATTCCTCTTTTTTGTTTTCTAGTGTAAATCTTGCTTCTTCATAGCCTTTTTGGCAATAAAACCTAACAATACACTAAAGATTCCCTTTCTCAAATCTTTTGCTTATATCTTTGATATGTATGTTCCTTCCCATAGACTACTTTAGAGACTTTTTCCTATGTTCTTCATTATCTCCTAAGACTTTGATAGCTGCTACTTTTGCCTTTACATTTTTCCTTCCTTCATATTTATCTTTACTAGGTGCCTATATGTTTTCTTCGAATAATATATTTATTGCATCTTCTATTACATCTTTTCCTTTTTCTATATTTTTTTTGCATAGATATTCTGTTTTGTCTTCGTTTATTTTGTTCTCTATTTCTATCATATCTCTGTTTGTTTTTTTCTCGCTTGTTATATTTATTTGTTCATTTTGTCTAGTTTTGAATTCTTCTATTCTTTCTACTTCTTCTTGGCTATCTAACTTATCTGCTATCTGCATCTCTTCTTCTGTTGTTTCTATTTTTGCCTTATCTATAGTTTTGGTAATTTCTATCTGCATATTTTCTTCTTGCGACAAAATGATTTCTTTACTTTCATTTTTCCTTTCATTAGTTGCAATACTTATATTTTCTCATTTGATTACTTTTTTGATATTTTCCATTCCTTCATGCATTGCTGCTCTTTCTAATACACTTCTTCACTCTCTAGCTGCTGTAACTATTTCACTTTCTACATCTAAAATTTTTGCTATTATTTTATCGACATAGCTTTCAAATCCTTTTACTAAATTACTACTTCTATTAAAGATTTCTTTTCCATATTCTTTAGTTATTTCTTTAACTATTCTTATTGAGCTATCTTTGTTTCACATCTTCTAAGTTTAGCTTTTTGTCATAATAACTTTGTCTTTTTCTGCAAATTCCCTATGAAATTTCCTATTTGCCTATGAAATTTCTGATTTTGGTCTTGTATAGTTCTATTCTATTTTTGATCACATGTCACGTTCTATTAGTAATAGTCATGTATTTGTTTGTTTACTTATCTTTTTATGCATTGTGTTACACATATTGATCTGCAATTTAAAGTAATAACAATTCCCAATTTTTCTAAAAAATTTTTTCAAATTTCTTTTAAAATTCTTTTATTCTTCTATTATTCTTTGGAAAATTATTATTTTCTTTTCTTCTTCTTATATTATCTGTAACTTTTTGTCTTCTTTCTTTTTAATTAGTAACTTTATTGTTGTTTTTTAGTCTTGTTTTTGACTTTTTTCTGCTTTTTGTTTTGCTTTGAAAATGATCAAATGATCTGCAGAGAGAGTAATTGTTAATAAAATTTTTTAAAAAAAATAATTTCAAATTTTATTTATATATTTTGAAACTTCATACAATAGGAAATATTTTAATATAAATTCTAATAAAAATTTATTAGTCAGATTCATCGTCACTAACTAAGATAATTTCATTATCTAATTCATCATCTATTAAAAGCATATGATCTTCTGATTTCTCATAATCCTTTGCAATATTGACAGTTTTTCTCTACAAACTAGTAATAGCTTGTGAGCTTACCTTTTCTACAAAGGTATAAAAAAGTTTATTTCTAATTTCAAGTAAATTACTGTGTGGACCTGATACTGAAACTTCATTTTTTACTAGAGCCCAGATACCTTTGATAGGTTGAAGTTCACAGTGATAAGGAAGGGTATAGAAAATTCTATGAATATAGTGTTTAGCTATTTCTATACAAGCAAAAGGAACTTTTTCTTTATATCTTTTTATAATTTCTAAAAGTTCAGATTTATATGCTTTTTTTGAAACAGAAATTTGTTTGTTTTCTAACTATTTGATTATTTCAGCTTTTTTTGATGATGTCATAAGAATTTTTTCATTTCATCACTTATAATATCTGGTCCTATCCATATGAAAATCTACTTTACCATATTTTTTTTTAACAGTTTCATAAAGTTTTTCAAATAGTGATTTAAAAATTTCAGAATTAAAGTTGTCATGATAGTTATTTTGATTAGGAGTAATATCTGAATTTTTTATAAAATCTAGAATATTATTTTATTCTTCTGCATTGCATCACTTATATCCTTTATTTGATAGTTCATGAATTTTTGGATCCCATAGATAAACTGAATTTGGAACTAATTTACCTTCTAATTTATTGGTATTACAGTTCCAAAAGACAATAATAGCATCAAAAATTATAATTAATAGTCTATGTCCTAATTCTAAAACAACATCTTTGTGAGGAACTCAGGTTTTATTTGTGGTATAGTGAAGATGACAATACGACTCATCTAAAAATACTTTAGGATATTTAGGTATGTAGTTTTTTCTTTGTAAATTTGATAGTCTATTTCGAAGATATTGATAATGATATGCAACATTATTGAAAGATTCATGTAAAAGATTTTTTCTTTCTCTCTGACCAAAATAATATCCTAGGGAATGTAGCAAATGAAGGAGTTGCTATTTAGAAACTTTATATCCTTTTGTAAGAAGGTATTGACATAATACTGTAGTAGACAAAAGTTGTCTTGCTTTGTTTGATTCTAAGACTTTTTTATGAATAATTATAATAAGATTAGAATTAGGTTGAACTTTGAGTCGACCAATAATTTTATTTGGCCTAAAAGTTTCATCACTGCTTTGGTTCTATTCTTGAATAACCTGCTCAACTGTACTTTCTGAAATGCCCAATACCAGGGCTATATACTTGCATAGTGTGAGCTTTTAATTATACTTATTGGCAGCAGTAGGGTCAGAAAAGTATTTGTGAGTACTAACTATCATTTTTTTTTCATTGTTTGTTAATAGAGCAGCACTTCACTTATCATTCAACAATGATATTATAAATCAGTTTAAGTTGTACAATATATTAGGTAAGATATTCAAGTATTTATATAAAAAAATTGAGTACTGATTTATTTGATAAAACTAAATTTAATTAAGAAATAATTAATATCTACATATTTGAAGTATCTATCTTATTGCACTAGCCAATATTTTGATTTATTTTAATCTAAATATCAGGAATTTTGTTAAAGTAGTAATAAAGTCTAAGCATTCTTGCTATATCAATGAGTTGGCATATTGATGATATAGAAATTTTTAGATTGAAGTCTTCAATTTTATTTGAGTTAGATAGAAGTCTAGATTTATCAGTAGGATTTGCAATAATAATCTTTAGACTAATAGGAAAGGTTATCTTGTATTTGGAGCTAGCAGTTATTAAAAATTCCTTTGCTATATTGTAATCTGTAATTAGGTATATATATTCTGTTCTGATTTTTATATCTTAAGGTTGTTTTGGTAATATAGACTTCTGTTTGAAGAAATTATTAAGAATTGCTTTAAATTTGTAGTATTCTCTGAGTAAAGAAATTATTTGTTATAAAGAGATATTACTATTGTTGAGATCTATTAGAAAAAGGTATTGAATACAGCTATTGAGTTCTTGATAAGTTGTTAGGAGGAGTTGTTTTGGTAGTAGTAGATTAAAGTAGCTTGAAAGAATTCTTTCAAGATTATAATAGTCTACTAGTTTCTATTTGTATATATCAAGTCATGATAGTTAGCTAGGATTGGTAATAGGAAATAGATTCTTAAGTTTTTCTTCAGTTATTTGATCAGAATATTCTAGTAGTTTAAGTAGTTTGATAAAGTATGAGTCTGGTAGAATATTAAATTTGTAGATTAGTCATAATGCTTTAACAATTACTCCTGTTTGTGATTGTTTGGTAATAGGAAGGTTAAATAGTAGTATTTCTATAGTTTCAGTATTAATTTTTTGTGGTGTTTTTAGTAGTATCTTTTTAAGAAAGTCATAGGCCTAGATTGTGATATCTTGTATTGCCTTAAAGTTTTTAATAAGTTTTGCCTTCGCAAAGTTTCTATAGTATTTGATTATTCGAGATATATAATAAAGTTCTATATATCTGAAGTTAAGGTTAGTAAAGTAGTCGATTACAATTTTTTATCTAAACTTAGATTGAATTGTATCTCTAGTTGTTTTGTTTATAGAATTATGTTGTTTTTAGATTTGTATATATCAATAGCTTGAGTAAGTAGATTGGAGTATTCAGTTTGATGTGCAGGTATCATATATTTGTTGTTGATAAAGAACTTAAAGAAAGCCAGATCTCTATGAAAGAATTTTAGTGATATTGTATTAGAGATAGTGTGTTTAGTAGGTAGTATTAACAATTTGTATTAAATAAATTCTTGTATTAGAGTTAAATCCTCAAAGACTTCTATGATTTTGTTTTTTAGCTACAATTCGTTATCGAACTTGTTTTGTAATTTGTTTTCTAGTGCTTGAGCAATGTGTTGAGTCTAGTCAGTTTCATAAGTATTTAGCAGATCATTATCAGTTAGAAGTAGATCTGGTTGTAGATTAGTTTTAAGTGCTTGGCTATATGATTGATAATTATTATTAGAACTAATAGATTGAGTAGAGTTACTTCTATTTTTGGAAGCTATATGAGTTGTATTATCTGTTTCATCTGAATTTGTTTCTGCAATAGATCTGTTGTTGTATTCTCTAATTTAGTCATTTGTTATGTTAGAAGTTCTCATAGTTTTTGTATTGTTATTATTGTTACTAGGATCAGTTGTTGTTGTATTGTTATATATAATGAGTGATGTTATTGTAGATTCTAATAGGGATAAGCTAGATTGCTTACTTTTTGTCTTTATAGAAAAATTATTTTTGTGACTAGAATTGTTGTAGCAATGTTTTTTGAAAGAGTTATCAGATGTTGGCTTAATTTCTTCTATTTGTTCTTAGTTTAAAGTATTTTGGTGTCAAGTTAGTATTTTCTCTATATTTTTAGTTAGTATAGAGTGAGATAAGACCAAGTCTGAAGAGGACTAGAGCTTATTGTTTAGAGTGTTCTTGTTTGTATTTGGTAAGTTTATAGTACTATCATTAGATAGTAGAAGTATATAGTATTATAGCTTTCGTTTATGACCTATTTTGTTATTTTTTTTATTATTAAGGCTACTTCCTTGGCCGATTAGATTTTTATTAGTTTGTTATTGCAGAACTATTACATGAACAGTTTTTTAAGGTTTTACAGTTACATGATGAGTATACAACAAGCCACACATACAACTTTAGTCATTATCTAATTTAAGTAGTCCACTATACAGACGATTGACCATCTGTTGGTTCTACACTATGTTGTCATATCTGCAACCTACCTGTGAGTTACCTATTTAAACACTCTGATCATTAACCCTTTCCTCTATCCTAAACTAACATTACCACTATAACCAACTGCTTACGCCAGCTAGTTTACTCGTAGGTCCATTTCTCTGCACAGCTTAGGTCCTCTTGAGATGTGTATGCCTAACATATTGTGAGCTGCAGAGCTTCAGTTAATCTCAGAAGTATTTTCTACTAGAGTAGTCATGTGCCTATTTCACAGATTCACCTGGATTAGACCCTTGTTGATGTTCGTACAAACTCAGTTCCTGCCATGGCCATCCACCAGATATAGTCTTCCAAGTTCCAGCCAGATATTTCACAAAGTAGATCCTCCTAATCTAGTTAACTACTAAGCCAAGTTGGTGTTGCCGCTAATGCAAGGTACCAGGCTGCATTACATAGTAGACTTACTCATACCTATCGATCTCACATCCTTCGTACTTAGGTTTTTTTACTGGATCAGGCATTAACTAGCTTGACTGTCGAAATCCATACTACTTCATCAAACTCAGGATTTCTACTATGCAGGTTCCCTGCTCGTAGATCCTATTTTGTTATTTACTTAATTATTTAAAGAAGTTTTTATAAGGTTTTATTATTTTTTACTCTGTTCCATAATATAGTTTTAGGATCTATAGAAAAGAGTTTTTTTCAGACTTATTTGTATCTAACTCAATCTGCATCTTTTAAGTAATAGTTTTTTTTTAGATCAAATATTAGTAAGTATAACTATTGAAAACTATACTACTTTACTAACTTAGAATTTTTATTATATAGATTTTTTGCTTATAGATTCTATTAAGATTTATTCATGCAATATTATATTATATTTTTAATATTTAAATAATATTAGTATAATATAATTTACAAGGTTATAACTCTAGAAACAAATAGAGTTTACTATAAGTTAAATACAAAGATTTAGATAATTATTCAAATTTGTCAATAATAGAATTTGAATCTCAGATCTCTTGTATAGTAGTCTAGTAATCTAATTACTACACTAATTTAAGCTCTCAATAGATAATCTCGAAATCGAAGACTTAATTCTCATCTCTAATGAACTACATACATATCATCAACCTCCACCTCCTCCTACTATACAAATTCCAAATACAGAAATATCTCTCATTAAAAATACTATCAATTCATCCTCTTATCAAGAACAACTTATTGCACTTTACAATCAACT